CTGGAGCACGGCGCGGGCTTGCCGCCCGGCCGCGCAGGAGCAGGTGAGGCTGCCGGAGCAGGCTGGGCTCGGCGTCCGCACGCTCCGGGAGAACATAGCCCGCTTTGTGTCCCTCGAGCGTCTCCCCCAGCTTCCTCCCCCTCGCCGCCGCCGGCTTGGCTCCCCGCACCTCTTCCTCGCACGCAGCGTCCGTCCTCGGTCCTGCCAAGCCCACCTCAGCCTCCTCATTCCTTTAGGCCTTGCTTCAACCTCTCTCTTCCCCTTTCCTCTTCCCCCTTTCTTCTCTTAGCAGGGGAAACCCCTGGTGTGTCATCACCAGCGACGGAGCAGAAACAGCCAGAGCCCCAGCGTCCCGAACCTTGGCATTGCCCGGGCTTCTCGGCTCCTGCTGAGGTACCCCAGCCACCCAGGCTCAGCTTATTGCCCCGACCGCTGGAGGGTCACACCCAAACATCTGCTACAGGATGCCTTAGCAACCAGGGAGCTAATGACCCAGATAAGGGAGTATGCCCAAACAGGTCTCATTTCATAATCTGGAAACCCGCCCCACGCGCTCTAGGACTCGGTCTGCGATATCTGAACTGGGGTTAGTGGTATCTCCAGGTGAGCGGTAGCTCCACATGGTTCTAGTTGGGCTTGAACTGAAACTCAACCTACATGTGCCTTGCAGAAAAGCTGGGTTCAGGATCTGTCCTGAACCACCTTTCGCTGTTATCAAACACCTGCCTAACGAGACTTCCGAAACCAAACAGTGCCCGCGTGAAAACAATGGGAGCACAGGGCTCCTCTGTCCAGCCCCTTGGAAATCAGGGATGAGGGTGATGAGGGTGATGAGGGTTTCTGTGGCATGCAGAGCAATCAGCACTGCTTCACGCCGGCCAGGGAAGTCAGCCAGGGTCCTGGGAAGGCTGACCCTCTCCCCAGGACAGAGGAGGGAAGGCTGGCTTTATGGAGACGTGAGGAAAGCTGGCATGTAGCTCTATATAATACTTTTCTGCTGTGACTGTATCAGCTCAGAAGCTGCTTTTCCTTTGGAGGAGTTGTAAGGTAGTGCATGTTTATATAAGGGACCAAGACCAAACCCAGTGAAGGGCTGTTGGTAATTAGCAAAGAGCCTTCAGTTGCCCACCTGGAGCTTGCTGGTTTGCTGATGAAGCTGTCTCCATCAGCTGCTCACCTGCGTGGGGATGGGAAAGGGCCTTGCTCCCAAAGCCGTGGCTGTTGGCTGCACTGAGCCTCGGAGGCTGAGGATGCTTCTCTGGACAGCAAAGGTCAGGAGCAGGCTAAGACTGAGAAAGTGGTTCCTAGGTGGGCACGATGGGTTTGGTTTGATTTGTCTTTATCTCATAGCTCTCTTCCAATGTCAGCAACAAATATTTTGCTAGCATAATGATGGGAATGGTGAAAATTCATTCTCTTGGCCTGGAATGAGTAGCAGCTTCCTGGTTTGTGGCCCCCTGCGGGTAAGGGGTGTAATGCTATTTGACTGAAGTAACAGAAAGCCAGACCTGTCTTTGCTCTTGATGAATTTTAATCTTATAATCCAGTCTTGTTCCTGGACTGAAGTGACCAGGAAGAGAGAATGAGGAAGAGGAACTGTTGCAGTAACTCCTCTTCCCTGTCTTCCCCAGGCTAACAGAAAGAGCTAGGGATTTGGGGTATTTTTCCTGCTCTACTTCTTCTAGAGACTAAAAGAGGCACTGTACAAAGCAGGACAAGCTCCTGCAGAGCACTGAGCTAAGGAGCAGGTGAGCAAAAGCAAGAACGCAAGCTGTATCTATACTGGTTCCTGTCTGCAATCCGCTGCACGAATGACCCGCGTTAGGCATCGCTGGTGCTTTCGTCGCAGCGCAGTGCCTGTGGCGTTGCTGGGGTTAGGCTGAACGTGCTACGGGCTGCGAGCCGTGTCTTGGTTTTACCAGCAGTGTCAGGTCTCTGACAGTCAGGCCTCTCCTAACTGCTGCTGATGAGAGAACGTAGTTTCCAAACATTGCTATAAAGCAATGTTTAACCTGGGGCAACAGGGTGAATTGTGGGAAGAACGGCTCTTTAATCTTGAAGTGCTTTTCAAGTTGTGCAGCTGCTATGTACTTTGCTGTAGCTTGACAGATTCTTGTAGTCTCATTTCAGGGTGGGGAACTGGGCTTAAACTTTTTTTTAGCTACATTAATGAAGTTTTAAGACTTTGCTTTTACTGTATCAGGCTTTAAATGCAAATGGCTAAACCAGGAAGAGTTTTGATGGGGGCAGAGTGAGCCCAGTGGCAGAAGCAGGAGGAGCGGCGCGGGGGGAAGCGTGGGGACAAACTCCCTGTCTCAGCAGCGCGGGAGCTGCAGGCAGTGCTCTGGTCTCTCTCATCTGCCCTTAGAGCTGTACTGCCATCCTTTGCTCTGAACAAAAGCAGAAAATTGTTTTCCTGCTTTGGTCAGGCCTTTCTTCTAGTCCCATAAAGCGCACGCTTGAGAAGAGAGCCCAGAACTGGAGTTTCTGGAAGAATTTGGAGTCCCAGATGCTCACCACTAGTTTAGTTACGTGAAAGAAGTTTTTGGTGCTTTGTAACTTACTGTGCTCCACGAATTGGCACATGCTCTGAGCTGGCTGAGAATGAGGGAGATCGTTACATGGAACGAAATGCTGTCTCCTAGCCAAAAAATGTAGTAGTCTGGGTAATTATATACTGATGGCAATAGCTCTTCAATCAGAACCGTCCTCCTATGAATCCCCATGTAGACAAGCTCTTTCTGTCTAGTCGCTCCCCTTCCAAAAGAAAGCGTACCAGCACTGCTATGGCAGGCAGTTTTCCTGCGAGGACGAACCCTAGCTTTCCATCCTCTCTAAGGAGTGGGTAGACTGAGGTTATTTGTTGCCAAAACAATTGTTCAGAAAAGCGACGGTTAGTCTAGTTGGATGGTCTTGGCTGTACTAGTTTCCAGTAGGTGCTTCTCTGTGTATTAAGTCTGCTCTCTCCTTTAAGGAACTGCCGTCAAAGTAGGTACTTAAATAATGTCAAACACTCTCTGACCCTCAAGCTGGAATGAGGTGCACCAGTGTATGGGGATGAATGAGTCATAAGGCAAATAAAGTAGCTATTTTCTTTGTTTCTCAACCTTTCACGTCTTTCCCTGTTTAATTAAAAATGAATACTAGAAACCTAGGAGACACTTTAAAAACCTCCTTAGAGTCAAATGTCAAGGGGAGTGAGGTCCTCAAAGGAGACTATGTAAAAAGATTGGTCATAATAACAAAATGCTGCTTGTAGCAGCAGCCTTTAACTGATGAGTCGTGATTTAAATTCCCATCTTAGCCCTTTGGCGAGTGCCACTAAAGTTAACGAAGCTCTGTCTAACTAACTCACTAGTTCTGCAGGTCGTGTGGTTTTTTTTATTTTTATTTTTTTCCCCCTTGGTCTCTCGGCCAGCTCTGTTGCTTATTTTTTGTTGCCACTGAAAGTCGCCTGTTCTATGGCTAGGTTACTATTGTTTGATTACAGTTTTTGCCATTCATGTTAAATGTCAAACCGCTCCTCAAACAAATGTCAAACAACTCCTAAGTAAATGAGAGCTTTCTAAATACCACACTAACCGTTCATTTCTATTTCTGAAGCCTGTAGGCCAGTTTCTCTTGCTTTACGCTGATGTAAGTCCAGAGTAACTCCACTGAAGTCCACGGAATTATTCCTGTTTCACAGTGGAATTATGATCAATTTGAAGTTTCAGTGACAGCAATATATCTTCCTAGAATAAGCACTTCTTCCGTGATGATAGCAAATTCCAGAGGGAACGTAGTATTATGTAATTGAGAACAGAACATGGACCAGAGTAAATTTTGCCAAACCCTCCACAGACGAGTGTGGATATTATTGCACCAGTGGTAATGAAGACTCATGGAAACCTTGTTTGCTCTCAAGGTTTGTGCCCCACACCTGTTCGCTGCTGAATGTTCTCTTTTGTTCCCCCAAATCTCTTGGTACAATATTTATTATTCTCATTTCTTCCCCCCCCCCCCAGCCTGTGCAGTCTGTGCATAAGCAGAACTGTTCTGTTTCACTTTGGATCAGATGGGTGAAAGGCTTTGTGCACTGTGGCTGGTGCCAAGGTTGCCTAGATCTTGGCAGGCTAAAGAGAGCAAACAACTAGTGGGATGGTGCTACAGCCTTTTCTGCCATCTGGGACGCTAATTTGAGTCTTCCTTCAGCCCAGCCACCAAGTTTTTCATAGAGTTTATAGGAACTCGCTTGTCTTTGAGACCGCTAAACTACTTGGATACGACCGAAAGTGGCCAATGGCTTCCCATCTTGATCGTGTCTGCTGCCAAGCTGTGGATATAAAATGTTAGGAGCTATTAGCATATGAAGTTTGTCTCTCAGAGTTCCCCTGAAACGGTATCTTGAGAGAGACGGAGAAGGAAGTGACGTCCCCATGCTGCTGTGACAGCAGTGGGTCAGTGTCTGTGGGAATGGTGCCTCCTTGAGGACAACCAGAAGTGGAGAGAGGTAGCAGGGCTGCATGAGCAGCACCCAAGAGTGACGTGCAGCCCTGGAAGGGATGCTCCCTTCTTCCCTAGCTTCAGCAAATGTTTGGCAGCTGCAGTGGGAGTGATGGGGCGGGCAAAGGTAGATGTTTTCTTGCCCTCGGGTCAGCGCTTTGTTTCCCCCCTCACCTGCAGAGGGATATCGATGATCCGCTGTGGGGTAGCTCCTCGCAGAGCTCTGGGAGTCTGCAGCGTCCAAATGTACGTGCTTGTGCAGAGTAGCTGTTTAAGGGCCCAGGAGGACCTGTCTGTGCCTAGTATAACCCTCTCCAACCTCTCCGCGATCTCTAGACAGTGCAGCAATGCAAACAAGTGATAAGGATACTTATAAGAGTCGCAGTGTAAACCCTATTTCGGCAAGTGGCAAAGACAGCTGATCAGAAGAAACCTGTTTATTGTGAGGTTTAGGAAAACAATTTTTGTATGCAAATTGTTTTTTTTTTTTTTTTGGCAAATAGTAGGGTTGATACAGAACTTTGAATTACAATTTTAAGAATACAAACACAAATACAAAATTCCTTGTTGAAGCAATGCAAAACAAACTTTCCCAGAGAACACAAAATGAATAAGTGCTTGTTAAATTAAATTAACAACAAATACAGAGTAAAGAAAAGGGGAAGGAAGAAACCCCAACTTGGAAGCCAAAACCCCACTGAAGAAGCAGCCATCACATCTTCAATTTTATGCTCAGGAAGTACTTTCACTTTGCTTTTCCTGTTCGATAGCTGCCAGAAAAAACACAGGAAACAAAGCGTCATCAATAACCGTTATGATGATTCTGCAGAACACATTTCTACGGATACTCTTATATCCAGAGGATGTTAAGTTCTCAGAGCCTGGAAATGCTGCCCTCTTCTTCCCCCTCCCCACCCCTGTGTTCCCATGTCAGTGCAGCAAGTGGGGTGCAGTTCATGATATGCAACCCTCTCATTACAGCTTCAGACCCTCTAGAGATAGAAAACACAGAGGGAAAAACTAGGTTTCTTATGTTGGGGGACAGTGTGGCTCCACAACTATCAATATTGATGCATCCAGAGTAGAATCCTTTGAACCATTTATTAACTAGAGGAGCCCTTGGTTCTCTTTCTGCTTAGCGATGCCCTTCTAAAAGACTCCAATCCAAATGCCGAGAAGCTGCCGTTCACACATCCCAAGCTGAACATGAGTCACAACTCTCATCTGGTTCCTCATGTGAGGTGCATGCAAAGCCCAGGGTGCAGCCCTCTGCTAAGGGAGGATGCCTATTAGACAGGGTAGAGGTGGGCTCCTCTGGTTGCCTTGTTCCCCCAGGTGTGTGGAGGTCTCCTGCCCAGGGCTGACACTGGTCGCCCAGCGGAGGGCAGCAGCTCACGTGCCTGATGGCATGTTAAACTCAGTGCACGGGCACCTTCTGGGAATGCTGCCTCATCAGCCCGGGTTTTGCAAAAGTTCACCTGCATATCTGTGCCTCTGAAGAGGCTGCTAATGGGGCAAATGCACACAGTTTGATCCTGCTACCCGTGGCCAGCAGGAAAACTGGTCTTGCTTTCAGCAGCAGCAGGATCAATCCCATCAGAAAGAATTCTTCAGACCAAACACAAACTGTTTGTTTCTTTGGAAGCCCAGCATGTAATGTAAGCCTTAGCATTATCCCCAGTTCAAGTCAGGGATGAGTTTGAGCCATTAATCCGATGATTAGTATTCATTTTGCATATCAACTGCAATACAGATCATGTCCTTACTATTCTTAGTTCAGATAGCCTTATAAACACTTACTTTCTTTAGTGGGCAAAGGATTTTTTTCTCTCGTTTCCGTCTTCTTCAGTTTGGTCTTGTCAAACGTTTCAATTTCTCCAAAATCTGGTTTGTCGGACATGATGGGTCCTGACAAAGGAAGGAAAAACACACCCATGGCTTTATTTGCTAGTGCTGTGATATCAGCCATCTGCAAGGCACTTACTGCTCTAAATATGAAAATTCCATAAAAACGTTTATTCAAAACCAACACATATCTAACACCTCAATCTGGGACCTCTCCCTAAAGCGTGGCTCTTTCAAAGCAAAAGAGGAAAGATGTAAATAGATATTTATCTAGATTTCTCAAAAGAAATCATATCTTGAACATGGAAACAAAAATATCCAAGTAAAGACAATGCATATTTGACAATAATCCACGTTGCCTCCTGACATAAACCTCTATTTTAAGGAATATTGGTAGCCAGCAAGTCTACAATAAACCATAAATCCAATATGAGCAAATAGTTTGAATTATGATTTTTTTAACAGGATTCTTTCTTTAATTCTGTGTATGCTAACCTAAGTACATACATACAAACATACATATCTGGATTAGCTGCTGTGTACGCTTGTGCTTAACAATAGGAAGACTGGTTCATAGAATCCTTTGTTTGCTCTCTCACTCAATATTCAAGTCGCGTGCTCGGTGTTTTTGATTATACCCTATTATAAAAGAAATCTATAAAAAATACCAGCCTTAAACATTCCACCTGTCAAAACTTTCCTAATCTAATTGCTGCTTTTAATAGAAATTCAAGATAAAAGTCATCCTATGTGTTATTCCACTGATTTCAATGGAGTTCCCATCAAGGATGCATTTGGCCCAGAGATTGCAGATAGAATTATATTTTTTTCCTTCCTTAAGACAACCTGATTTCATTGCTATCTGTACTGAGACAACAGAAGTAAATATGCACAGGAAAAACAAATGAAAAGCTACTAAAACCACATGTCATTACCGTCTGGCTGCTTTCTCCTCAGCTGCTTCGTGACCGTCTGAGGCAGTGTGAGTTTAAAAAGGTCATGTTAATCCCTCCTCTCCTCCTCCTCCCCCCCGCCCCCCAGTCCTTTCTTATCGCTATTAATATTGATTAGTTTACCGCTGGGATTGCTCAGCATTTAGGAAAAGGACAGATTGCCACTGCAGAAATTAGATGAGGGAGGGGAACGGAGAAGCTGACCATGGAAAACCGCCAACATAGATTTTTCTTTTTTTCCTTCCCATTTACCAAGACAATAATATTTAAGTTTCCCTTCCTGCCCTTCTCTTCTTGTATAATGCAGAGGTTTGGAGTTGATTTGAGGTTTGGAGCTGATTTAAGGGCTGATGTTGCAGCATTAGTTCGTGTGTAGTTTTTAGACCCATTCAGCAAAGCGCTTGGGGAATATTCTGAACGCGTTTTGGTCCACAGGAGCACGTGCTTTTGGCTAGAGAGGAATCTAAACACAGGTGTGGTAGCATTGCTGCAATCCAGGGCCAAATCTAGAGATAAACAACAGTGCGAGCACTAAGCTGCTGCCAGGAATGCGTCCTGAAGGAAAGAACAAAGAATCTTTTATTCCCACCCATTTCGGGAGCTACAAAAACACCTGATAGTGCCTCCTTCAGCCTAACCTACTCTTGCTCTACAGGTAGGACCTTGGGAGTTGCCCATGGTTGACCTTCCTGCCCTGACTGTGCAAGAAGCCACGTTTGCACATCCTGCTTACGTAGCCTTCCCCCCTGCTCAGCCCATCCCAACGGCGTGAATCACGCGGGGCTCACTCACAGGGGAATCCCTTCAGTTGCAGAGAAGGGAGGAAGGCTGAGCAGTGGTGTGGAGAATATTCTCTAGGTGCTGAGTGACGTGATTTCTGGAAAATCTTTAAAATGGTTAATAGCTCTTTGGTGTATTTGGCTCAGCTGCAAGATGCGTTTTGCATTAAGACAAAAAACTGAATGGAGAAGAGACGGTGCAGCACGTGGGCATTTTGTGTAGCCGCCTCCTAGAGCGGCCGCTTGCGAGGGTTATGGACGATTCTCGGGCTACAAAGTCTCGCGTCCATGTTCTTCAGCTACGCTTCCTGATCTGCTGTTTGGGGAATCGTTTTTCAAGGCCCTCCAGTTTGGGAGGGAAGGGCTATGTGCATCTTCCGAAGATGCTGGGGTGGGTTTCATCTAGTATAGCTTGTGGTGTCTCCACCTGAATTACTTGTCTGGACTCCCTGACAGTCAAGGCAGAGAAATAAACACTTCTCCAGTGCCAGTCATCTGATCTGTTTGAAGCGTCTAATTTAGGCCGAAATTAATCGTGTGCTAGGAGGATCTATTTTTCTCTACTGACTATAAAGGGAGTTTAGACAATGAACTCAGACGTCTATTGGGCAGCTGTGAGACAGCTCTTGGGCAGATGAATACAGCTGATTCAGAGCCCTGAGAAGGTAACGTGGATTTTTCTGTTGGCATAACAGACTTACAGCATTTTTGAGGCTCGTGTGTTGAGAAAGTGGATATGTTTGAAGGAATGAATCTCTTTCCAGTGTGTGTTTACATTAAAATATATGAACACGCACCTAGAAATGATCATTCTTTTTACTCATGAGCATTCATAAATAGTGGTTTACTTCCCACCTAGTGATTCCTTTCTTAATCCATTCCATTTTCCATATCTTCAGAAAATGGACGATTTGCTGAGTGCCTTGGCAAATGGCTATCTGAGAGCTTTTTCGGTATGGCCATGCCGGAATTATTTGAGGTAAAGGAGAACAGAGGACCTTAACAGTGGAAAAACCTGGATAATACTACTCCGTTGGAGCTCCCAAGAGATAGCGTGGATCCCACTGAGCTCAAGACTGTGCAAACCTGGCTACGCTGCTTCTGGACCTGAAATTGCCCTGGCAGTGGTATAGCTACCTTTTTGTTAGGATTAAAAGTTTGGCTTGGCTGCCTCTGCCTCTGCACTGACCATCCACGCAAAATCAATTTCTGTGCGTACGAGTAATGTTTAGTGTTAGGACTTAGTTGCCTGCTTCCCTCCCTTTACTCCAACCAATCGTCAAAAATAGAAAGCTGTGTTTTTGACTGAGAGCTCATGGGAATAAGCAGGAAGGCAGCTGCTGGGTGAATATTCGGCATTAACCATGGCTGAGATTTGGCACTGAACGCTCTTACTGTCTGTTTACAAAGGGTCAGCATTAACCTCTTCATGTTAGGCGGGGCACCAGATTTAGAAGATCCTAAGTTCAGAAAAAAACTTTAAAATGTGATCTGAATGTTTCAACAATGCATGCAGTTCATGAATGAATATTCATAAATACTTGACTAGTCATTTTTACAAGTGACAGTTAGAATTCTTATAATGGAAAGAGATCTGTAGGGGGAAACCACTTGGACTGGCACAAACTCAGATATAAAGAGCAAACAAAGTACTCAGGACAGCGAAGCAGAAGAATCTACGTTTCTGGACGTAGTCAAGGGCTCAGGCCTTAGTATCCACAGCAGAGCTTAGGCTTTTCTAAACAAGCTAAGACAGAGTGGGCGTGCTTGTTGTTTTCACCACTACTATTCTAAGTGTCCAACTTTTGGGCAGTTCTAGTATTAAAAACACTTTTGGTAAGTTTGGGTTTGTAAACTGAAGATGACTAGGTTTTTAATTGATATTGAGTTGGGATTTTGAGGAACGTGGAACAGTGTTAGTCCATGTAATGTAATTATGAGAAATTATGTTCTCACTGTCAGTTCAAATCAGTAGCTACTCATCTCCGTAACAACCACCTTGACCGTTGCATAAACTCTCTGTCAAGTCTCTGCAGCTTATTAGTATGGTGCTGTGGTCAAACTGTGGCCAAAACATTTATTGCTGGATTCAAACCTCGTGTTTACATGCCCTGTGCGGTACAGCCCTGTGTAGTTTTCATACGGAAAGTTTTGTATGGAGCTTGGCCTGGAGGCGCTCAGGGGAGAGCCAGAACAGACAGCCCAGGGCATTGAGATGAGCTGCTTACAGGAGGGAAAGATGGGTAGGAGATGTTTTACTCGGGCACTGCTTACTCTCACTGGGAGCTAGGATATTCTTGCTAATACCATCCATGAAGCAATTATTTGGTAGAACATTTTTAATGGCAGGATTTCAAAATCGCCACCTTCAGTGAGAGAAACCTGGTATTGAAATGATTGCCCTAACATTGAACCACAACAGTCTTTGCGGTACATGGAGGCAACTGAATGATCTAATAAATATAGAAATGTGAAAGAACTGCTAAGCCAACAGAGCAAGCAAAACAGAAGTGCAATAGGATCTTTACAGATCCTAGACAGATAAAAGTGTATAAAGCCATATGGGTAGGGTCATGGCTGAAACACTGCCTCAGATACAGTGTAAACTGCATTTTATTTCAACCTACTGCCAAAAGATGAAGGTCTGAGTCAAATCTGCCAGGACCAAAACCTCTGACACCAGTGAGTCACCTGCTACTTACTGCATTAAACCATGCCTTGCAGCACAAACCACTGAGTGTCTGTCAGACACCCACAGAAAAACAGAGGAAAACAAATACTTGCTACCAGGATGCAGAAATAGGTGAGAGGAAACGTTTACAGGGAGCTCAAGTAAAGAGGAAAATTGAGGGGTGTTTAAGGCGAGAGGCTGTGAGGTTTGGAGTCTGCCACTGCTCAGCTTTTTCCCTTGGTGGCTGGCACTTGGAACCAGTGAGCCCGGCCTCCGTGGGGTTTGGGTGTAGCGACTTGCTTGGTTACAATTTTCACAGGTTTGGGGGATGCTGTGTTCATGTTTGGCACGAGATGTGCCCTGGAAAGGCCAAGTTTCATGGAAATTGGGTGGATGACTGCAAGAAGAAGGGGGTTTCTTTCTCTTCGGTGTAACAGTGGGAATCAGATTGCATCTATTCCTACGTGGAATTGAAGAGGGACGAGGCATCCTAACGCGAACAGCCGTTCAGAGGAACAGACGCTCTAGCAGATCAGGGTCTGTAGCTGAGCCAATAAGCTGACACAACTGATTTTATAATCACATTAGTGCTGTCTCGAAATAACACACCCACGCAAATATAACAGTGATTTCATTTTCAAAATGTTGTGGTATTTTTGGTGCTAAAGGTAGGAGATTAATTTTTTCAAGGTCAAAATCACTGGGCCGGATGCTGTAACCACCCTAATTGCTTTAGTTTCCAATGAGAACTGAGCGCTTTTCAGAAAGGTAGCAGGGTTGGGCTTGCTAATACGCGTTAGAAGGTTTCCCATCCTTAGTGGAACAGAAAAAGGAATACCGCTTCACTGAAAGGATTTTCTTGGTTCTCTTTGTGCTTTTTGTTCCGTCTTGCTGCCAAAAAAAATATTCATGTTTGGGAACGGAGACAGGTTCCCAGGCTAGGAGACAATGAATCCTGGGCGTGTAACTAAGGCAGGGATCTCTCTTTGGCAGCGTGTGCGGTTGTAACGCTGCACTGCTAGTGTGTAAACACTTGATGCTTGTTCTCCAGTATACACTTTATGTTAGCTGAGGTGTTTCAGTTTCCTTATCTAGGCCATTAAGCCTTTAACAGTGGGTGTGTGCAGAGGTTGAGGGGAGGAAGAGGAGAGGCTCAATGTAGATAGTCCTTCTGCCCTGGCTATTTTTTCCAAGCCTTTGTTTCCCAAAGAGCTCTGGAGTTCAGGCAGCCGCTACCAGGAGTCCCGTTGCAGCAAAGAGCAAAAAGAGTAAACCAAAGAGAGGGGGAGTGGAAATGTCCTCTTTCCCTCCTTTTGAGTCTTATAAAGCTCAGTATGGGGTGGATTCTTAAACGTTCAGCCAAATGGAGATTCTTGCAACTGAATTTTCTTAGAGACTGACCCAAAACTGTAGTAGGTACTCTTCCAAAACAACGCACTTGGCTTTGGCCTTGCCTTTTCTAGCAAATGTAGCAATGTGTGTGTGCATTATTAGACAGAGGAAGAAAAATTAACACAAAACGCACATGCTCCTCTCCGAAAGACAGCGAGGGGAAAGAAGCATATGATGTAT